TCTGAGTGACTACGTTGGAATGCTTCAGTGCATACTTCAAAGCTGGCATGGCACTGTCTCCTACAAACAAATAAATCTTAGTGGTGGTGGTGGTGGTGGTGGTGGTGGTGGTGACAGCAGGAGGATGATAATTGGACATGTAAGAGATTTCATTAACGAATCACGTCGTGTCGCCTCAATAAAAATGGCCTGTTAAGGCTTGCCTATTTAAAATCTGAAAGCTGTTCTACAAGTAGCGGCCAAATTAATGTTACAGCAACAACATTTACAATTCGCCCTTCCTCCGAGCGCAAACCATTGCGCAATCCCCTAATGTACCAATGAAAGTCGCTTGAACAAGACAAACTTGTAGAACCTCGACAACATTGAGGCTGGAATGATGGTGCACCTTAACGAGGTGCTTTCGACAAAGTTTAGAAGTGCCAAGAACGACACCTTTCCATCAATCATCGCATTTTGCCTTTCGACGGTAAAGTGGTAATGCCTCGATGGGTTGTGCTTGGTGATGTTCTCTCATGCATGTGTGCAGTTGTGATATCCTCGCCCCTCAAATAAAGATGCATCGAAGCATTTTTTTAGTCACCCTGTCGCCTTGTCGATGGTGTTAAAATTCATTTTTCATTGTGGCTACCTTCACCCCCATGCAACATCCACTCCCGTTGCCTGTTGCTCGTTGGATCAGCACCTTGAGACTATGGATGACATCTTCGGTCAATAGCGCAATGTTTCAAATTAATTGAAATGTCATCAGAAAAGCACACTTAACTCCTAATGACCACAAGCGATTTGGAAGAAGCACCAAACGAGTAAAGAAAACCGAATGACATTGTCAAGGCTCGACTGACACCAGCGCATTGACAGCCTAATCTGACCTGTTGATCCTCGAACTCTTCTCTGCTATGCAACTCTGTGCAAAAAAAGTGAAATACTGTCAACCGAAGCGCGGATGACGTGGTGTCACATGCTAAATGATGTGCGCAAATCAGAAGTGTAAAATTCCACTCCCAATTGTGCGTGCACCCCTCATCACCTACTTTATCATAAGTCAAAGGCATAAACAATGACTCGGCAGCATAACATACTCGTGAGTGAATATTCGTGTAGCTTTTGTCGAGACATTGAGCAGACCACTGTGATCATTCAGACGAAAGGTGGACAAATAAACATGAATTGACAAAATTTGCTCTGCAACGTTTCGCTTGACTTTACTTATGCCGTTGTGTTGCAGACAAATCACATGGCTGTAGTGCAGTCAAAGTTCACTTCAAATAACTGACATCGACGGATAAACAAATGTTGTGGAGTGCTATAAATAAGATCGTAGTGAGTGCACGCACCATGTCTGACACAATCACCATCACCTTCGTGTTCAACTCAGCATGCAAAATCCATCGACTGGGACACCTCTGCTACTTCTCCTCCTCCTCCTCCTTGCCTTTACGTCTCACTTCGCATTCACCAACGCTGCGTGGATTAAGAGGAGTAGACCGAGCCTGAATGTGGAAAGTGTCGACGCCTCGCACCTGTCGGAAGTTGACGAAGGGACAGACGATGCTAATGAGGGTGCAGATGGAGATGAGGAGAGTGAGGAGGTTCTCGTGGCGGCTAGATCGCCTCCCATTCGAATATTTTCACAGTGCTACTATGATTACCTGGCCAAAAGGATTGAATGCTATCCGAAATTCGACATCGTTCCACTTTGACATTTACCATTAGCTTGTGCTTGATGTAATGCCTTTACAAATTTGGTAAATTTTTGCAATTTACATTGCTTTTTTTCAATAGCACAATTCTAATACAATTCTGAGGTTTATAATCCGCCTGGTACGTAAGTTTGGCAAAAGTACGCCAAATTTGCTTTGTAGAGGAATTTTTACTAAATGAAGTTTTCAAATTTCTTTGCCATGGGGTTGCACAGGCATCGATGCTGTGGGGTGTGTGTGTCGAAGCCTGAGGCTTGGGAAGTGCAAATATGGGGAAGTCGAGGCGAGTACTAGGAAATTTACGGGTTTAAATGTCTACTCAATTGAGCAGCTCTTGGTGATACTACTGACATCAGCTAAATGTGACTGCCAAATGGATTGCCTGCGTCCAAAGGTAAAAAAGGATTTCACGCCCAATCAGCATACCTTAAGTTACGCTCTTCTCATTACACCGTCCCATTCGCCTTGCAAGTACTTCAAGTATTCACGTAAACGTTGTATACTTGGCGAGTGATTCCCACCTCGGTGCACCCTCCGTGCCTTGGATGACAGAGTGTGTGATTTGTGTTTTAACAGACAACTTCGACGTACTGTACTTGAAACGCATCGGCTGTACCATATTAGGACACATTCGCGCAGGATGACAGCCATTTGATAAGCCTGTAATGTGGGCGATGCATGCGCACATACGCTCACCAGACTGGGAAGCCACCTGATTGTAGGTTTGTTGGAACTACCCTCAGCAAGTGTATTCTATCAACCTTTTCTGCACCTTTGGCGCCAACTGCTCCTTCTTCGAATATACTATTCAAATTCTTCCCTCAGTTTGCTGCTCTCTTCGCTTTAATGCGCTTTTCATTTACCAAAACCACTGTGTGGTCACTCATTTTTACCCAATTCATTTGTAAAAAAATGATTACTACGAGTCATGTGGCACAAATACACATGGCAGCCTTTTGGTATTCCTCTTTCAGCTCGTTACTTATCAAATTTAAGTAGCATGAACATTTTCGAACCAAGTTGCCTTACATAGCGCCTAAATATAGCGCCATATCGACCAATTGTGCTTCAATACCAAGCCCAGGTTGCTTATTTGGAGGTGCAAAAAATGTAAGGATTTGACATTAAAGCCATTTTGTGACAAACTTTTGCCTCAACCCGCGGGTTTCGCATTCCTTCGGTTTGGCGTGACTCGATTTAAAGCACACTCAATCAACTCAAAACCAAGAGACTATAGAGAAGTCTTCTTGTGACCGCGTTTTCATTGCTACATTACTGTGTCTTTCCCACGTCTCATTATATCATTAAAAACTTATGCAGTGTCACTTGTAAAATGGTCAGGGCATGAGCACATCTGTGAATGTGGCACTTTGCTTTGTCAGTGACGTGTACCAATGGTGGTCGCCTTGGTAGTGCCTTGTTCTAGTTTGTGTGGAAGTCGGCCATTGGGCCAGGCCACAGTTCAGTCTCTTCCCCTTCCCCTTAAATAAACGCATACAGTCCTGCCTAAAGCCTTCTTTTAACGAGTGGGGATTCTGAAGACATTAGGCAGGTGACACGGAAGGTAAAGCCATCATTTGTGAAAATCCTACGATACGAGCTTAAAGTCAATACTTTGGACGGACGAATCTCGCAACCCTTCTAAACAGAAGGGCCGACAACGACGCCTGCATTGGGCAGCTACCCCATTCTCTTTTGAAACTAATTGGCCTTGAGGTGGTGGTAAAAGCACCTTTTTTGGACTCCATCTAACCGAACACGTGTGCAGATGTCGACGCTGAACCTCTTCCATACTGTACTGTGTTTAATCCCTTTTATCTTGTCACGCATCTCCCCTCGACCAATGTTACGATGATGAAATTCACGAGACCCATTCGGGCACTTTTTCCGATCGTAAATGGAGTTGCGATAAAGACTGTTGTGAGAAGTACGTAAATTCCGTCATCCTCATGACAGCTAATGTCTGGCGCAGCTTATTATTAGGGGCCTTTCTTATAGTGCCGATTTCGTTGCCTCGAAGGGAGAGTTGAGAAAGCATTTTAACTTTTTTACTTGACTTCATGTATGACTAGCAGCCACATTGGAATGATCTCTTCCCCCTCTCCCCCTCTTCTTCTCGATTCCATGCCTTCAGTCCAAATTAGCACCTTCCTCCACTAAATGAGAAGCCTAGAGGCTCCAAATCCTGAGCGCAATAGCCGCCCTTATGAGCAGTGTAATTTTCTTTTTCCATCTACGCGACCTACGCCATCCTGAGTTTACCATCTTGGTTCACCATTACGGTACGACCCCTTGTCCAAATAGCTCAGCGATCGCCCCTAAAGGAGGCTGAACTTTGGAAGATGGCAGATTATGTTTTGTTGTGGTTAAGGTCCACCAGAACACTCACCTTCTATCTTCACAGACATAGAAATGTTAGCCCTTAAAGTTGTAGGCAACTTTCGATTGGCCACCTTTGGTCTCTATCGCCACTGTACATTGGTAGGCTTTGGTCGTAAGGGAAGTGGCCACATTTTGCATTGGCGCCTCCTCTTTCCACTCCCATTGAGTCAAATTGAATCAAACAAATAAGAAAAATTCACTACCACTAACCTCAAAATTGATAAGAGCCTCAGTACAAGCAGTATAAATTAAAACCAAACTGCCAGTGAAGGAGGAGGAGGAGGAAGAAGAGCAGTTAAATGGACACACAAAGGTGGCAAAACACTTAAGGAGCGTGTATTGGGATGGGGTTGAGGGGTCAGTAGTTTGCCAAAAACGACCTGTAGGAGTCAAAACAATGGCCTCACTGCCATCGCCACAACTCTGTCCGTGGGTCAGGAGGACGGTTGAGGAATTTAAAAGAAATGTGAAGAGATGGGGTGCAATTTCTAGCAAAAAAAGCCCTTTGCATGACCTCTCCATGCTAAGCTCTCGGCATCTCCATTTTGTCTCAAGTTCTTTATTTCTGCGGTCCACTATCCTTGTGCCCATACAAAAGGACATCACTAGCCTAATGAAAGTTAAAATGTAAGTCACACACACACACAACCGGACAAACTCACCTCACCTATTTTGAATAAAAATGTGCAAGCAGTTACATTGAAGTAAAGGACCAGTGCTAGGAAAGGATTAACTATGAAAGCCAAATTGCAGTAGCCACACTCAACCGGAGTTGCATATTATTTTACGCAACTTCTGCAGAACAAATAAAATACGTAAATTGAAATTGTAGAGCTCCTTGACGTCCTTGAGGTTAAAGGAGGCATCACTAAGAGGAGACGAGGAGAGAGGATCGCATCACGGTCCGAAGGTCAGACCACGCGCACAGGTGCAAGACGAATGCCAAAGTAAGCGCCAGACATCAGATGGTCACGTAAACAAGGCCTTACAGAAGTTGACTGTGCAAGACCGCCATAGACGCGAGATACCGTCTCCATTGCCGTTAAGCCATCGTTGCCCAGCAGAGCTGCGCGAAGAATGTGAGCCCACAGGGCGGAAATGTTGGCCTAACAAAGCCCCACCAACTGATGTGGACATCTTATTACCATGATTGTGTCTCCCTTTGAAACTTAGTCGGTATTTAACGAAATAGGCAATCAATTTTACACCTCCCAAAGTCTCAACTCTTTCTAATTTCAAATTGCAAAGTTTTAGGCAGGACAATTTTTAGTTATGAAACCTATCAAGTGGAGGAGAAGGGAGGCAAAAGGCGCAACTATTTGTAATTTTCATGCAAACTACAAGCAAGTCCATTTTGACCAATGATTTTGACGCCTGTAAAGGAAGGTGTTGAATGCATGAAGGTATTCGCATCACCGTCTGCGGCCATGAGCATTAACAACCATTAGTTTTGAGGAAACATTCCGAGGATCAAATAATATGAACACACAACTTGAGACCATATAAAACTACATTCTTCATACATTGAAACATACGAATGAGACTCGACATGCCGTTTTAGCACAAGTCGTGGCCGTCATTCGGAAGACGAGGAGCGTTCAAATTGTGAAGGCGTAGAAGAGAGTTAATCATCACGGTGGAGTTAATGTTGAAAATGGAGCCTTTGCCAAGTAAAGTTAACGGGTTCATAATGAGAAAGTGGGAGTGTAAAGTTAATCAGATCACCGGGTTTGTCAAGTGGGGAGGGACCTTGACTGGAAGTAAAGTATCTTTTGGCCCCGTACGTGGGTTCAGTGGGATAAAATGAGTCTCTGCACCATTTGGTCATTTTGTCGAGAGGTGTAGCATAACGGAGGTGGGGAACTGGTGAAAGTCTGGAATACGAATGAGTAGCAGGTTTTGTAGCCGGGAATGGTATGCTAAATGGTACTGCTGACGAGGCAGCGGGGTGTGTACCAAACAAGGTTTGTGGTTCTGCGTTGCTTTCCGTATGTTGGACCGGCGCCACTATGCGAGGAGCACACAAGAGTCGATTTCTTTCTGAACTCCAATTCGGTCTACAATCATAAAGTAGTAGATGACGGGAAATAAATGTACTTAGTGCGTAAGCATTAACCTTCCCAAAACTCACCATCGGAATTCTCAGCTGCCAATTGCAAAAAAATGTTGACCGAACAAAGTAACGTCGCATCGTAGTCACAAGAACATGAAATTCAATTTCGCAATAACAAGTCTTACGTTTTTCTTCCTCGTTTACTGTCACCTAGATTGATAGACGACGAAATTTCTTCAGTCTTCTCTTCTTCCATCCCTTCTGAAGGTTGGATCATATTGCACTACTTCGATCCTTCCTGCACAGTTATGATTTTTTTTTCTTTTATGCGACCTCTTATTTTTTTACGCTTCCACTGACCTAACATTTAGTAAATACTGCTCTAATTCAGCTTTGCGTGATTGGTCGCCACCAAATAAACTCTCGTCTCATTGGCTTACCTCAGTACGCGTGACATCAGCTCACCCCTGTCATCACTCTCTCCCACCCAATCACTGCATCGTCCTTGGTGCTACATTTGATGGATTTTGTTGCCGAACAAACGTAAGGATTTCAAATGTCAACG